GTCCTGAGGGCTTCATCTGCCCTGGATTCCCTGTGTTTCCAGTTCCTGTCTGTACCAGTGTACATCCTCTGACCTAGCCTGATTTGTAAAGTACAATTGGGGTCATGATAGTGGGGGGGGCATTTAAGAATTAGAGGAAAGTTGTATGTTTCATCATTGTTACACTGCACCCTGACTGGCTTGTCTCCTCCCCACTACTTTCTGTAAGGAGATGTCCAGTTGCCCACAGATGGGCTTTGGGTCCCCAATCTGCACTCCCCCTCATTCACAATGATTTGATTTTTTGTTCCTTGATGCCTGATACCTGATACCTTCAACATCTTGTGATCACACAGGCTGGTGTGCTTCTTCCATGTGGGCTTTGTTTTTCTGAGCTATATGAGTGCTTGTTTACCTTCAAGCCTTTAAGACCCCAGAGGCTATATCCTTTGATAGTCAGGCACCATCAGTTTTCTTCACCACATTTGCTTATGTTCCCATTTGTCTACAGTGATTGTGTTGAGAAGGTGAGCATCATGGAATGCCAATTTAATAGAAGAAAGTATTCTTGCATTAAGGTAGTAATTGAATGGAGGACCAATGTCCATCTGCTACCTTAAAACTAAACCTATAAATATATGCACATAGATCTATTTCCACATCATCATAAATAGGTATATTTACATATGTACATACCTGCATCTAGACCTCCACAAATGCCCTTTACCTCCTAGTTCTTCCCTCTATTTCCTTTTACTTTCCTCTTGTCCCACTATCATGCGTAGCCTTCATTTGGATTTCAGTATTTCCTCTCAATTATATCACCCTTGCTCAAGCCCTACCAAAGGTAAAAATTATTCTCTTCTTAGAAACTAAAGATTTTGTCAGTCTTCTTGTACTTAGTCCAAACACATAGTAGTAGCTAGAATTCTCTCCAGTACATATATAGAAAAGCTGAACCGTGGGAGGTAGAAATTTGCATAATCACTGAACAAGTCAAGAAACTAGCTAGAAATAGAACCAAAGCCTCTGGGAATTGAATCTGATGAAGTTCAGCTTTAATAGGAGAAAAGGATGCATATTATGAATGAGTATCCACTGCATTACAATTTCTTTCAGAAATATGGCAGTATTCGCTGTGAAGATATATACAGCTTGCGCTGTCGAAATAGGTTATATGTAATACAGACCCTAGAGGAAACAACAAAGCAGAATGTGGTGAGTATCCATCCAGTGGGGAAAACCAAACTGAAGTAACATTGTTTACCATAAGTTCCTTCATATTCTAGCCAAGTTGTATGAAGAATATGGAAAATACTAAACTATTGAGCTGGAGTCTTACTAAAATTTAGTTTGATATAAACTATTTGAGAAGAAATAAGTTATTTCCTTCTAATTGACTGATGCTGATTGCTCCAAGTTATTTTGTGATTTGACTTTCAACATCGTTGCAGCTCAGTATTGATTACAGCGTTGTAGGTATTTAAGCATAGCTTATGTGTAATGTTTCATCAATAACGAATAGCTGACCTATATAGTAATAAGTGCTACTAATAAATATTTTTCCTTGGATATTTAAGGGAGAGGAAGAAGGTTATATAGCAGTACACTTTATAACTTACAGGTATGTATCACTTAATGTGCAGTTGGGTAATGTTCCCACCGCATATATATCATAGTAGTATCGTAAGGCTTTTGCTTTGTTTTTAAAGTGGGAAACCAGTTCTCCTTATGTTTATGATTTCACTTAATGGTTTTTGAAGACCCTGAACCCAGATTCTTGCACATTGGACTGTGAGTGGGATATAGGCTGGTGAGACAGAGAACATGGCTCAGCACACAGGCTCTTGAGCTTTGTCTTCTGGGCAGAATCATGGATAAGACTGGGCTCACTCTACTCCCTTGCTTCATCTTGCTTCCCATAGTGCTCCACTCCATCAACCTACCACTCAGCTGCCATTGCCCTTTCCTCCAGCCTCCCCTCCCAGTTCCCTCAATAGCATTAGCAACAAGGACAATTAGAAGCAGGCTCCCCAAAAGTTTAAACATGACATTCGTACAATATCCAGATCACATAGCATCCTATCTCGTAAAACATCAAGGACATTGACATAGACCTATACTCTCCTTTTAATATTTGGATGGACATATAAGACACTATAAATATTGGTTGCCTCTGGTGAATCTGTACTGTTTAGAGCTTTTATCAAGAGCATATTTGGATTTTGAAATAATTTTAGGAATTTAAGATTTTACTTACCTCAGTGATTAACAGGGTAAAATATTTTAAAAACAACATAGTCAAGTTGTAATGTTATTTGAGCACATATCTATATAATTCAGTTAACTCTTTTAATTTATTTTATTGCCTGATGGTTGTTCATTTTTTCTATGAGCTTGTTTTTTTTTCCTTATTGATTTATAGGTGTTCTTTGAATATTGGTAGTGTTAACTTTTATTGGCTATATTTGTCACGAATAATTTCCCCCAGTCTTACTGTTTTTTTTTTTTTAATTTTCTGCTGTCTTTCAGTAAATTTAACTTTTTGTTGTAGTTGAGTCATTCTTTTTTTTCCTTGTTTTTGGTTCAAAACCATTTTATTGAGAATTAATACTGATATCATATCATTTCATCATTCAATCACATCAAGCAGTATTGTTCAATTGCTACCACAATCAGTTTAAATACATTCTTTTTCTTCCTGAAATCCTTCACATCAGCTCCCTTTTACTTTGCCCCCCACCACACACACACACACTCTCCACCACTGTATCCCTCAGAAACTCTTATTCTACTTGCTATCTCTATGGGGTCATCAATCCAGGGTTGCATATACTGAGAAACAGAAAACTTATAACAGTAATTCAATTGGGTTACACCCAATGGCATAACACATCTGAGATCAACCCCAATGTGAACAAACAAAAAAATACAGGAAATGTTGAAAACCAGATCATGCCTAACAAGCATCAACTGACAAGGTTTTAACCTGCTCAAGTCAGGGTGATCCTTTTGATCTTCTACAGCCCTCTGTCCAATACCTTCTGTTTGGTAACCACTTTCCTCACATCCCTCTATTATGGATAGAGGGAACTCACTGGAAGCATATTTCCTATCCCACAAATGTATCTTTTTCTTACATGATCTTTGGTTTTCATGTCAAACCTAGCTATACCTTTCCTGATTTAACATTATGAAAAATCTCCTCATGTTGGTTTATGTTACTGGACTGGCTCCCCTTTTAACATTGAAATATTTAATGCACCGAAAGTACATATTTGGTTTATAGTATGACATAGAACTTTAATGTTATTTTTCCCATATGAAATTGCCTTTTGTTCCATTTATTGTCTAATCTATCTTTAATGTATCCTTTTTGACATGTTACTTTCTGATAAACATAGTTGATTTGTTCCTGCATCCTCTCTTATTGTTCCTGCAGCAGTACCATACTGTCTTAATTATGGTCACTTTATAGTCCATTTTGAATTTTATAAAGATTTTAAAATGTTCTTTTAAATGTCTGCTTAAATTGCATGTTTGTTTTAATGCCCTTTAGTAAAGATTTGTAGTTTCTTATAAAATTGTTTACATTTCTTGTTAGGTTATTCTACCCCTATATGGGAGAAAGATGAGGCTTTCTACTCCCATAAGGAGTTGCAGTCTCCGAAATTCACAGGAGCAGTTCTACCTGTCCTACAGGGTTGCTATGAGTCGACATCAACTAGACTTGATGGCAGTGAATTTTTTTAACGTTTGTTTTGTTTTTGGTGTATTTTATAATTTGTTGCTAATTTAAATGAGATTTTGTTTCCATTACATATACACATTATTGCTGAAAGTTATTTGTTTGAGTGTGTTGCATTTATAAATGGCCGCATTAATGTTTCTCTAATTCTAATATATTTCCACTGAACTCTGTAAAGTTTCTACGTAGACAACCACTCATTTCCAGTCTTATAGTTTAGCGCCTCCTGATATTTGTACTTCTTTCCTTTAAGCAGGTAACAGGTACTGTTAAGCAGCAACAGTAAAAGCAGGCTTCCTTGTCTTATTCTTGAATTCCCTAGAAATGCTGCTAGTATTTATTGTTACACATAGTATTTTCTTTTGGTTTCTATTAAAAATGTTCTTTATTAAATAAAGGTTTTTATTGTTTCCGTATTAAGAGGGTTTTACATTTTTTCAAATTTAGATTGAATTTTACCCTTGATCAAATGGCTTTTTGACATTTTCTTAAGTTTGTATTGTTGTACTTTTTTGGTGTAGTGAATTATAGTAAAGAATTCCTAATGCCAGTCTTCCTTTGAATCTTAAAAATTCGAATTGTTCATGACATATTATTATTTTAATATTCTTCCTAGAACATTTTGCTAGTGGTTTTGGTGAGGTAGGCGAGATATTGCTTTACTGTTTTCTGTTTGTGCACATGTGCTTTTTATGTCAAGGTTATGCTCACATCATAGGA